ATTTCTTTCTTTGGTTTTTTTGTGTATATATTTATATTCTTATTATATTATTATGTTATTATTATTACTATTATTATTATTATTATTATTATATTATTATTATTGTTATTTTCATTTTTTTTTGTCCTTTTCTTTTGTTCATTATTTCATTTTCTATTCTAATTGTACGTGGACTAGAAAACAAGAAATCAGAACGAAATCCTTGGTTAAAGTTTTAATTGCAAATCGTATTGTTGGAATTCTGGACCAAAAAATTACGTTGGACAGAATGCAATCCCAAGATTCAAGCCTGGGATTGATTCTGTCCGCTTCCTAAAATTATTTTTAAGACTGCTTATAAATTAGACTGATTTTACAGAGAACAATACATAAAAATTGATAAAGAGAAATAATCTGGAAAAATTATGGTAGTAAAGGTTTTTGGGATTTTAGTGTTGGATCTAGGGTTTGATTTATAGTTTCGAGTTTGAATTTAGGTTTTTGGAGTAAGGTTTAAGATTTGAGAAGGTTCAAGAAATATTTTTGAGTTTTCTAGGAAGGTTTGGAAAATTTTTGGATTTTTTCTGGGTTTGGGGAAGAACTTTGAATTTTTCGACGAAATTTTCCTGTAAGGTTGAATTTTTCAATGAAATTTTCTGGCAAGATTGAATTTTTCAGTGGGGTTTTGGCAAGTTTTCTAGAAACCGGTTGGTGTTCCAATTTTTGATTGAATTTTTCAATGAAGTTTCCAAAAATTAGTGGAATTTTTAGTTTTCGATTGAACTTTTCGACACGTTTTTTTTTATTTTAAAGAGAAGGCAGAAGATTTTTTGCGTTAAAGAGAGAGAGGCTCGGGTGATTATGAGAAAAACATTGAAGCCTTGGCTTATATAGTAGCTTGGAACGACATCATTTTGGATAACCCAAGTTCCGCGTGTTGACCCGACAACCCGCGCATCGACTCGCGTTCTGACCTGACCCAATCGTAGGTTTTTTTTCATTTTATTTTTATTTTATTTTTTTTATATATTATTTTTCTGGCTTTTAATTTGGAAAAAAGGGGTTATTATTGCCATTTTGTTTCTAAAAGTAAAAAAAAAAGGAAAAATAAATCTAAAATTTTTTTTTTCAAATAAAAAAAATCTTTGTAAATAAAGTTTTCAAAATAATAAAAAAATCTTTTTAATAAAAAAAAGGTCTTTTCAAATAAACAAAAATAATTTTTATCCTCTAAACTATTAGAGGATTGCTTCAAAGTAAGTCTTACCAAATTATTGAAAGACTTTATTAATTTTTTTATAATAAAATAAATCAATAAATCTTATGATGAAGTCTTTTTAGAATGGGACACTAGTTTCTAGAAATACTCATGAGGTGAAAAAATTATCTTAAATTGCTACCAAATTATTGGGACAATTTTAAGATTAATTTTTAATATTAAATTATTTGATAAATCATAAAAAAGATCAAGGCTTGGATAATTTAAAATCAAACTGGTACCATTTTTTGGATGGGCGTTGTAGGGGTGTTACAACCTTCTCCATGCATAACCGACTCCCGAACCTAACATCTATTTTCGTAAATCAGAATATGTTTTAGGTGGTCAATCACACCTAATCAAAAAAGATTAGTGGTGACTCCTTTTAATCCATGTATAGCGATAGGTCTACGGATCTATATGTTATGATATAATGAATGAATAGATATAAATATATATTTAAATGGTTATGACATTTGTATAATCATGACCTTTATGAATAAAAATCTATTTATATTCAAATAATTATGATAATTTGTCATATAATAATTATTTATGTTTAAACATAATTATTTAAAATATAAATAAAATTAATACAAAAATTAATTTTATTTATCAATAATTAAATCTTTTTATCTAATGTAAGATGTATCATATTCTAAACTACTAACAAATAAGGTATGCAAAGAGGCTTGGAGATTAACCAACAATGATTAAAGGAAAAAGCAATCATTTTGAAACAAGGGAAAGCAATAAATTTATTTTTAAGATAATTCAAAGTGGTTTATGGGATTTACCTATTTTCATGAAAAGTATGAGTTCTAATTACAGATGGCAAAATAAACTTACATTCAAAAATTCATTAAAAAAGATTTAAATATAAATTTAATCCAACTTGATTTGATTAAAAAATTAAAGATTTAAATTTTTAAAAAATTCAAATATAAAATAAAATAAGCTTAAATTTGCTTGAGCTTTAAAAATTTAACTCTAAAATAATTCAGATTAAAAAAACTAAATTTAAACTTGATCCCAACTTCAATGACATGCTAAAATAAATTAAAAAAATTAATCCAATAAAACTAAAAAAGTCCTTAACATGATCTCAAATTCTCGAAATGCTCGAGGTCCCATTTTGACTATTAATTATAAGTTTTAAAATTAATTAATATAGAAGAATTAATTGTTCAAAAATTTTAAAAAAAGTGAAAAAGAATAAGAAAAAAAAAAGATAATGACATGAATGAATTTTAAATTATAGTAAAATGTTTAATATAATATTAAATTTTAAAAATCTCTAATATGATATTTAAAATATGAATATGTTAATTAATGTGATATTTAGATGGTTATTTGTGCTCTACATATCTTATATAAATATATAAAAATCAAAACTTTTAGTAAAAATGAAAAAAAAATTCTATGTGGACGGCTTAAACTGTTGACATGTGGATGGTCTCAAAAATCACCACGTGACAACTAATAAATATACTTTATTTTATTTAATACATTTTTAATTTAAAAATAATTTAAAAAATTAAATTGATTATATTTATGTTTTTATTATTAACCTTAAATCACTCTCAATTCAATTTATATTAAAAGAATTAAAATTTTAAAAATTTCTTAATTTGACAAATTAAATCAATTAATATATAATTAATAAATTAATAAATACTACAATTACAATTATAAAATAGTTGATTCTCTAATCAATTATTTCATACATTTATATCTGATTAAATGTAGTATCCAGTAATTGATGTATTTCATGTGTAAATATAAAAAGCAAATATTTCAAACTAATTCTCCATAATTAAATTAATGAAATAAAGTATTTTATTAATTTATATTTGATTGATAGATTAATATTTCATTAAATATGATTTTATTTTGTAAAATATTAATACACGTTTGATTTCATTTGATAAAATATTAATGCACTTGGATTTCATTTGATTTCATTTGTAACGTTTTATAATTTTAAAATTTAGATATTAATGTACGTTGATTTAATTAAAATTTAATTTGTTTTATTGCCATTATTAAATACAATAAATTTATTTTATTTTATTGTTTGAATTAAAGAATTTCTAATTGTTAATTCCATAATAAAATATTTCAATATCAATTAACTTACCTTTGTTAGACCATTATTCACTCATAATTTTTATTATTTCAATATTAACTTTCATAATTTAAAATTATCTTATTAATTAACCTACAACACACATTTTGTATAAATAGCTTTAGGTTAAGCATAATACATATTTAACCACTTTTTACTAATTTTATATTTTTTTTTATCACTGTTTAACTCTACTTCAATTTTCTCTCTAATTTTTACTTTGCAGTGTTTCTTGGTCTGTGTTGCTCAAAAGTTATTTTTTATTTTTTTAATATTTTTTGTTGATGATTGGGTTTATACAAGGAAAGTCTTTCACCAGTAGAGTTACTATTATAAAGGTTGATACCATTTTTGGTTAGTACTATATGTCATGTAAGTGTAACAAGAAACTATCTAAAGTTAATGAAAAATTCCAATGTTATTCTTGCAATGTTGATGTCCTTAATCCAACTCCAAAGTAATTAGTATTTATATTTTTTATATTTGATACATAAAAAAATTATTATTCCATGATGATAATAAAAATATTTTAAATTATTATATTATAGTTAAATTGTAGAAATTTACATTTTTTATAAGAACATGTTAAATATTGAGGTATATGATAATTCTGGAAGGGCTATGTTTGTACAATTCAATACAAAAGCTAAAGATTTAATTAATAGAGATACTAACAATTTTTATAAAATATCTGTTATGGTATTAAGTTAAAAATTATTTTAATATTATTTAATATTCAAATTAATTAAATGATATATTTATACTTATAATTTAGGAAAATGTAGATTATAAATAAAATCTAAGAAATGTTTGAAGATCTCAGAGATAAATTTTGTGTGTTTGAAACAAGGGTAGCTAAGTATAATCTTGAGACAAATAGTATTAAACTTACAATGAATAAGGTGTATGATTTTGTTCCTAAGTTTGAATATAAAAAATTATTAGAAGATGTATGTATAAACTTATAATGATTATGTTTGTTATAAAATTATATAGTCTACATTATAACTCAACTATTATCAAATTACAAATTACTGTTTTATCTATCTCTTTACTTTCATATGTAAAATCTATTGACTCATTAAGTAAAATGATACTAACTTCAAAGATAACAAGAAATATTGAAGAATTAATTGTTGCATCTTCACTTCAATAAGTTTGTATGCGAAATTAATTTTAAGGATGAAATTTTTAATTTCTTGAAGTAAAAAATATTATTATCTTTTGTTTAGAGATTATTTGGATTTAATAAATCATAGTTTGAATTTTCTTATAAATTGATGATAATTATATAAGTATATGTAATATGTAATTAATTTATTTTATTATATTAAAATATATAAATTTAAATAAAAATAATTATATAAGTTATGAGTTGTTCATAACTTTATAACTTATATTATCATTTAAAAAATTTATATCTATATAAGATTTATTGATATATGAATATATTTTTGTACATTACACGAATTTAAAACTAGTTATCATTTAAAATTAGTTATATTTAAAATATATATCACATTAATAAATTTATAATGTAAATATTAGATATAAATTTTTAGAATTTAAATACAATATTAAATATTTTATAATAATTTAGCATGGTATTAAAAAAAAAAAAATAAACGTCAACTTGGTAATATTAGCATAAGTTAGGTGTCTGAAATTGCAAAGCCAAAACACGGCCGCTTTCGATATACCGCTTTCGATATACAGTATTCAAGCTTAGCTTCCTCGCCGTGACATGCAAAAGAAATTGATCAAATTCTGCAACAAACACATATACAGCTATATAAAAACAGGTATGAATAATACATATATGCAGTGTGCCCTTTGTTTCAAAAACAATTTACTATAAAAACTGTCCATCTCATTTTAGGGTTTTCTGTAGCACTTCGTTTAATGTCGGCTTGTTTCTTGAAGTCTATCTCTTGTTTTGCTTTGGGCTTTGAATTCTCTTCAAATTGGTTTGATTTTTGTTTTCAAGTTACTGAAAGAAGTGGAGCTAATGAGTTCGTCCACCGCTGAAGCTTTTCCAGTAGTTCTGGTAATGTCTCAACTAAATACCTGAGTAAAATAAAAAGCTTTCGAAAATTTTTTGCAATGAATGGATGTCTTAGGTTATCATGTTTGAAATGTATTGGCAGGAAACGTTGCTGGAGTTTCGTGCTGGTAAAATGTTGTTAGAAGGAAAAAGGGTTGTCCCCGATACGCGTAAAGGACTCGTTCGCATAGCTAGGGTATTATCAATCAAAGCAATTTCTAATATACATGTCATTTTATCTTTTGTATTAAATTACAGCTTGTGTTTAGACTAGTGAAATTGATTATATTTCCTTCAGAATATCCATTTTAACTAATTTTTATCTCAACATTTGTGAGCTTACCGACTTTCCTTGCCAGGGTGAGGAGGGACTGTTGCATTTTCAGTGGCTTGATCGTGCTCAAAATGTTATTGAAGATGTATCCCACTTCCTATATTTTTCTCTGTTGCTTCACTCATCACATTCTATCTCATTCTTGTGATTCATTTTCGATTGGATTGCTTAATTCTGCTATATTTGAAATAGGTATATTCCCTTTATATTTGTGAAAAGGTCATTAACAATCATGGTATCCCAATGTCTCTTGCTTGAGAATTCCACAAGTTATTTTCATAATGGTGTTGTTGCTTGGTGTTGAGATTTTGCATTAGGCAGTTCATGCACTTTTGCTGGATTATGCCACCTTTAATCTTCTATTTTTACTAACAAGTGAAAATGATTGAATACCATTGGTCAAGTTTGAGGAATTTTGCTTCTGGAGGGCAGCAACGTGCATCAATTAGGAGGACATTTAGGGATTTTGAGGTTAAAGGCTAGGGAAGAGTTGGGACTAGGGTTTGATAATGGTGGGATGGTAACTGGAGAAGGGTTCTAATGCAAGGAAAAGTTTGCTGCAACTTTTGGCAGCATATATGCTATTATATTTGAAGAATCTAGTTGGTGGGATTTGGATATAGACAAGTTGTAAAATGTTTTCAAGTATATGCAAAAGGGGATATCATTTAGAGTACAATGAACGCCTAAATTAACCAAATAATTATTACTTTTATTAGTTAGAAACCTACTAAAATAGTTATATATTGCATGGTTATATGTGAGGGTTTTTCTCTCTTTGTCTCTATAGGGAGAGGGAGCAAAAAAGTAAGCTGGGTATCCATTTCTCAATAAACCAAATAATGAATAACTTTGTTAATTAAAGGTCTAGTAAAATACCGATGGATGATAGGTAGATTTAGAGTAGCAAATATGTTAGCTTCTCATACCTACCAGATAACTTAGCATTTTAATTAATCGAAAGGCATTTTTATTAATCAAAAGCATTCTAAAGTTACTAAAATATACTAAAATATAAATACTAACTGATGTTTATATTGTCTCCTAGGTTACTACTTAACCAAATAGGACTATGTTTCCATGTTGGAATCTGTCTAAGCTAATAGAATTTTTGAACTTGGCAAACTAACCATTCATAACATAAAATCCTAAATTGCTTGTGTTAAGATTACATGCAGCGAATTAGGTTCTTCAATGGCTGCTGAAGCTTTATCACCTTTAATGGAACAAAGAGGTGGCTTTATTTGGTTGTCTTGAGCAACTTATGACTGCACAAGTTATGGACACAACTTAAACGTGGATTATTTTCTGGGGGCCATGGGTTCTGCTGGATACCATGGAAGTTTTTATTTAATATTTTTTCAAATATATGTTCTTTCAGTTAAGCTTTTACCTTGTTTACATAAGTTTTTCGGAGGCCAAGTAATGGACACAAGAAAGCCAAAGATCTGCTACAAATTTCTGAGATGTCTCAAATTCTTGTGTCTACTATCCCTAGTATATTTGACTCTTCAGCTAGTTTTGATTCTAAAGTATGTGCAGCTATAATGGGCACCATGCTAGACATCGAGATTCTCATTTATGGCCTTAAGGCCCTTAACTATGGAGATGCATGGGTATTGTCTAGTACTCATTAAGAAGCTTAGTTTCATTAAGAACTTGTCTTGTCTGTACATTGAGGCTGTTACAGGTTTAATTACAGTAGTATGTCAGTTATGACTTTTGTTTTATGCTGCTTCTGATATAGTAGTCTTAAGAATATATTTGGTGGTGCTGCAGTGATTTTGTGCATGTGTGTGTATGCACACATGCATGCATTTGATTCTAAAACGTAGTTAGAGGTTATGTGTCTCTAAGAGTTTAAGGTTGGTTCAGAATGTTTGCATCTTACACATTGTTTTTTTTTTTTTTTTGGTTATTTTAATTATTATTCATCCACTTTAGTTTTATCTTCTCATCTTGTTAATAACTGAAATGGTTAGCTTTGTCGCCCGTATCTTCTAGTTGCAAGCCAGTGACAATATCATTCTCATTGTCCACCATGATTTTTATATTCCCTTCTGGTTAACAACTGATATGATTAAGAATCAATTTTTAACTATTGTTCCTTAACAGCTTATTTTCACAGTTCATATTCAGACATGCCATTAAGCTTCTATACTTACTCAACAATAGTTTCATTGCCTCATCATAAAAAGTCTTCATCTAATGTGTCTTTTTATTTCTTTTATTTTGAGCACTTTTTTAGTTTTCCTTGACACAAGATATTATAGGATCAGATTATTTTTCCTGATGAAGCTGTCTTTGAGAAGGTATTTAATTTACTTTTGAATTATTCAAATATTTTAAAAGAGTTAATTATCAAATTGGAATCCATTAGCTCTTTAAACTAATCTTGAATATTATTCTTGGTTAACTTAGGTTAATCAAGCATCAGGCAGGGTTTACATATTAAGGTTCAATACCGATGACCGGAAGTTCTTTTTTTGGATGCAGGTCAGATTTGTTAATTTGCTTCCTGTGTATCTTGGTTTCTGCTATTTACTGATAAGTTGTTTTATCTCTCAGGAGTCTAAAGCTGAAGATGACTCACTATTATGTTTCTCAGTCAATAGTTTCATCAATCAACCTTTAGGTATAAATGGATTACTTTGTCATTAAGTTTGTTCTCTGAAGCATGAATATTCGATCGATGTGGTTGGGGTGGGGTGGGGGGTTTCCAGATATTCTGATTTTTTTATTATTATATTCAACAGAATTCCTTGGTCTACCAGAGCCTGATGGATCTGCAGCTTTGCGAGTGCTTGAAGAGATGGTAGAAGATGATACTTCATCAAGGTAAAGCCATTGCTACAAAGATTTCCTCCCCTCTCGCCCTAGAAACAATTCTATAAATGGTTTTTGCAAACTTCAAATTAAAAACTTAAATTTTATGGTTATCATGAACTTAGATTTCAGATGTCTTGTGGTCTAGCCTCTCATATTCCTTGCATCATATATGTCAATTACTTAGCAAAACACTATTAAAATGGTCATGATACTTTTGATAAAATTAGTATTAAAAAGATGTTGGGCACATTGAGGAATCCGACTTACATGATTTGTGGTGGATTAGGGTCTAGAGAAATTAGAGATTTTAGTGTTTGTAAATAATTTAGGAAGAGGTGTTGGGTTTTAGAATCAATTTTAAGATTAAATATATCAATATAATGACGAGAGGTTGATATAGCACAATTAAGATTGAATTTGTTGAGCTAATGGCTGGAGGATGATATTGGGCATCAGGTTACCCAATCTCTTTGGTAATTGGAAGGATTATGATATCAATGGTTGTGTTACATATATTAAATTTATCTCTAGTTATTAGTTAGATATTTTCTGCCTTGTTGATTAGGAATTATAACTATTAGGATTTATTTACTATTTCTTTATGTTTTATCTGTTATGAATGTTACAACCTAGATGAAAATATTAATTCATTTTTTCATAATTTCTTGAGAGTGTTATCTCTATATGAAGACTAAATGCTCTAGTTAGGTTTTGTAAGTTGAATTTTAATAAAAATCTCTGAGTTGAGTTTCTTCAGACAACTCTTATTTTCAATTTTCATTTTCCTTGTATTTGGTATGTATCAAGTAGTTAGGGGAAGATTAGTTAGTCTGTACTGGTAAAAAAAAATTTGTGCAGGGTTCAGCATTTGAAGATATTTTAACTGTTGAAATTTTTGGGAAAGAAGCAAGAAATAAGAATGAAATAACAATCACATTGTTATTTTCATCTTCGGAAGCTCAACTTTGATGAAGTTGACAGTACAAATATTATTGGCCTGGTTATGGAATTGCTGATTTCTAGTTGCACTAGGATTTCTAAAACACAACTATACTTTAGAGCAAAATGCACCTCAAATGAATAAATTATTTTATAAAGGACTTGAGAGCTTAATCTAACAGATTCGAAAGGACTAAAGTATAGGCTTAGCCAAAAAGAAAGGAATAAAACAAATTAGCCTAAATAGCAGGCTCATATTTTAAAATGGCACACTTCTCTGGCTTGGCTGCTACCAAGGAAAGCTATTGTCTGCACAATGAGCATAGTTACTATAGGGACTGAATTGTAATTGATATGTGACACAGATGATAATGTGCTAATTTTTTCCTGGCTTTGGATTTTATTCTCGTGTATGACCTATATTATTATGTTTCTAATCTTGCTTGCTCAATCTATGGGATTTTGCTTTCCCTTTTTGTTTATTGGCATTGAGTTATTAATAAGAAACAGTTAGGTGGTCTTAAAAACTAGAATAACCAAGAATTTTGACACATACACTTTCTTCATAATAAATAATTTTTGGTAAGGCTCACCACAAGATGTTTATTATCCACACTTTCATTGGTGAAGTGGTCTTCTTTTCTAAATTTACTTAGGACTTGACTTGAGTTGGTAAAGTTAGTAGGGGTGGAGGATCAGTGGAAATCGTAGATTTTTTTGGCCAAATGAAATTGTAGACAACACAGACTTCAAAGTGAGTAATTTTGGGAGTCTTGTGTAGCAGCTTTAGGAACTGAGCAGAATTGGTGAAATGGAGCTGTATTGAGAGTCTTGTTTGTTGCAAAATTCTGTTCAAAGTTTAAGGAAAATTATGCAAGTGGCCATAAGATTGGCAATGCCATACAGGAAAATGTGAAGTTTGAAGATATGCAAAAGATGAGTGTGGTTGATATAAGAATGCCATGCTAGATGTGCAAGCATATAAATAAAGATACAACTAGGAATGAATGCATAAGGGAAAAGGTGAGAATTGCACGCATTAAGGGAGAAATGAGATAAAATACAGTTGAATTGATTTGAACTTGTAAAGAGAAGATGTGGTGAGCAGATGTGATTTAGTGGAGGATACTTGTAGTAAGAGTAGAGATAGGGATTTAGATTGCGGTAGTGGTCACACTTTCGGTTACATCACTTTTATTGCAATTGCAGATGTGACGGTTGTTATTGCGGTAATAGCGATAGTGAATTTTTTTCAATTTTGCACAACTTATTATAAAATATGGTTACTATAATTATAATTATAAAAGCTCTTTTTTAATAATTTTTAAAGTAGTTTTATGACTCATGATCTTTTATTTATATGAGAGACAATTTTTTGCCATTATAATAAAATATTCATATTTACAAAGGTTCTTATTTTTAATAATGAATTTCTACAAATGTTAGTAGTTAATAAAAATAAAATACGTTGAATGTCAAGTATTCATATTTAATAATATTACATTGAGAGTAAATGAGAGTCTTTTGCGTTGAAGAATTTTTTAAATTATCCAATGCTTTGACGGTATTTGGAGAAAATTTTTCATCTAAAGATTTCTTAGAAATCAGTATGAAGACTTTCTTATAATTTTATTTTCTAAGATTCACATTATCTTATTTATTAATAATGTATCATATCATTTATAAATATTTATAATGAAAAAAATTTAACAATAATACACTCATTCACTATTTATTTATTTTCATAAATATTTTTATCTTAAATCACACTTTTTTAAAAAATATTGTTGACATGAATTAAATATGAACAAGTATGAAAATAAAAAACTAAAAAGTATAAAAATTATACTCAATTAAGATCTTAGTGTTAAGACCCAAAATCATGGATCCAATAGGCTCAAGAAACCAATTACTTGCGAACTGTTGGGCTAAAACCTGGTATGGGTTGGGTCCAAGGCCACATTCTATTTCTTTCCTCTTTATCTTCGTTTGTTTTTGTCCTTAACCCCAAAACTTCCGTTTTAGTTCCTAGGTATAGATAAAAAATCCTAAAAGCCTAATCAATTTTTCTTCCCCTCTTCTTTTTCTCTCACTAGTGTTTCCTTCTCTTCTTCCTTATAAACCCGAAATGCCACCTCCAGATTCCAACCACTGTATGCCCCTGCTTAGTTCGCCGTCCAGCTCCAAATAGCCTCTCTTCTTCTCTTTCTTCTTCCCTCTGAGTGGCGCACCTTTCAAAACTCGAAGCCCCATGTCCAATTACTTAACCTTCAATCACTTGTTTGTGCTTGATCTTGATTTAGTGTTTGAGTTTGACTGAGGCTGTGTATTCTGCTTTTTGGGGCTCTTCTTAGATGAAAGCCCCATGATTGTTTTTCCTTTTTCTTTGGACGGAAAACAGAGTTGGGGCAATAATGGACCGTTATTGCTGTTATTTATTGTTACGCTCTGACGTGAATGGCATTCTCACTCGTTTTTGCTTCAATAGTAGTGGCAGATGATGATGTTACTGCAAAATAGCGGCCTTTATATTGCTACTCCACAGCTTTATAAGTCCATAAGGAGAGAAACATCAAAGAGGATGTGGATAGAAAATAAAAAAAAAAACCTATAGAGCTCACTTTGAATAAGCTTACTAAAGATTCAGCTGTTATATTATTAGAATGTGTCTTTTCCCTTTCTTTCTTGGTTTGTTTGTTCTTTTGTATGGTTTTTTCCTGCTAAAATAGAGAAAAACTGAAATAGTTTTTATCCAAGAGTTTTAAAGTGAATTGAACTTACAATTTTTTTCCATTTATATAAATTATTTTGAAATTTGAGCATTTCTGAACTTTCCATTCGCTGATGGTATTGTTTTAAAAGTGTAGATATAGGATGCTATGCATTGAAATACGGATGGATATATTTTCTGTGCGTTACCTCCTACATGATATGAATTATGAAAGATGGATGCCAAATGTATGTCTTTTCAAATTGATCTGGATGCTAGGCATATGATATATGTTTAAGTGTTAACCAATCATGCTGTGGCTCAAGCTGAATTGCATTTTACAAGGGAAAATGCCTTTTCAGATCAAGCTATGTGATGCTTTAATAATTGTTAAATTTGTTAGATTTTCAATATATGTTGCTTCTTTGTTTGTTTAGAACTATGCATGACATTGAATATTGAGTTTAAGACCTTGTGCCCACTTTTATAATTCAGTTTTCAATTCTTGATTCATAAAATAAAAGATCTAATTTTAGATTTGAATTCCAATTTGACAACCGCAAGAACTGTTTCTGGTAGCCCTATTCCTAAAGAATCTTAATGTTCTTGCATAAAAAAAGGTCAGATAGATGAGACAGTATTTGAAATTGAAAGCTATAGCATCCTAATAAAAATTTATGACAGCACTTTATTACCATCTTGGCTTTAGGGGACCAAAAATACAAATAGATGTGAATAATAAATGTTTGTTGACAAAACTTCTAAGTTCAACATCAGTTTGCAATAAATAAGTAATTGGTTTTAAGGGTTGAAATGGGGGTTTAAAAGTCTTGTAGAAACAGAGCAAATGCTTTGATTTTTGGGCATCAATTCTAGGGGTAAGTATGTCTATATCAGGAAAGAAACTGTGGCCTGATGTGGTATGTCTATATAGACAGATGCCAAACTTTGTAGAAAATGAAGACTCCTTTAATTTTGCATTCAAATTTTCCGTTTCTGAGAGCTTAGTATTTTTGAGTTTGAGAATTTCAAATGATCATGCTGTTGGGGCTGTTGTAATTTAGATGCTTTTATCTATAATCTATTTATAATATATAATATATAATATATAATAAATAAAAGTATAGATGTTGAAAAACTTTTGAATTGACGAAAATGAACATTTTTACTAATTATATATCTTAATTGCCTTTTTTCAATATTTTTATAATAAATATTGATAAGATTTATCCAATCTGTAAATACAAATTCTAATTGTATCAAATGAATATCATTAAAATAATTTTTATTATAAATATTAATAACATTTATCCAATAATAAAAATTCTAATTACATTTAATGACTTCCATTAAATATATTTTTCTTAATATAATAGTTTGTTTTTTAATATTACAAAATTCAATTATTTTTATTTCAAATTTTAAGCTGTAGAAATATTTTTATTTTATATAATTATTGTTTTAAAATAAATATAAAACAAGTATTCACATGCAATTTACATAACAAAAAATGCTAGTCATTTTAAAAATCAATATTTTCATACCATTGTATCCTCTCTTCATAGACCTTATATTGAAAGAAGTCATTGGATTTTGAGCTCTAATATAGCATGCCATGATAGCGGATTTTATTAAATTATTTGATAACAAGTGGAGCCATTCTGTTTTGATTCTTCTCCACCATCTTACAGGGTGATCACTAGACCTGTAGAATGACTCTGTAATTCAGTGCTAAACCAATGGGTAAGGTTGTTATTATTTTTCAATCAGATTAGGTATGGAACATTGTATTATTCCATCTAGACTTCCTGAAGTGACATTCCAAGCATGTAACAACCTGAGTACAAATATTTTAAATAGCAACCAAATCCATAGGTTGGATAATTTGCTATCCTTTTGTGTATCTGCCTCAAGGAAATTGAAGGAACATTTCGTAATTTGATCTGGATGTGCCATGTGTCTCCTTAAGCAACCTTATACAGAACATTTCTTATATGGTTTTCATAGTCCTTTTATTTTGTTCAAGATATTACCCACTGATGGGTTGTTATTCTTATTATTTTTCTATCCAAACATTTCAGAGCCGGAAACTTGACTGTTACAAACATAGGTGCTGAAGCAATTAGTGATGTAGCTTCTTCATCAGGGCCAGTTAAATTGGAAGACTTGCAAAGAATATTGAACAGTATCGGGCCAGCAGGTATTTAGTTCATTAGTTGCAGAATGCTTTACACTGTTTTCTTGATTAGACATTAGATTATTTTGAGTTCTAACATGATTGTTTTGTGATTGTATCTGTTGCAGAGATAGCTGGTGATCCAGATGGAGGTGATGGTTTTGCTTTTTTATATTTAATAGTATCTGGTAATATTTTACTTTTGAGTTTGTAGTTGCCATTATTTGTGAATTTCCAGGCTGTTGACTTCCTGTGGATGTTTGAACTCACTTCTACGTGTGTGCATGTGTGTTTTTGGAAGGGGAGGGAGGGGTTAGGGAGTCTGGGCATATGGTTGTAGGGAGTGTTACCGAGGATTAATGGCGTAAGCTAGATGCATAATCCTGAGAGTGACGGTAGTCTGATGGGCAGTTTATGAAACATGAGTTTCTGCTTGATGTTGGTGGCTTTCAAAGTTAAGCAATATTGGTCAACCTTTTTTCTTGTAGTCATAGAATTGTAATCAGCATATTATTTCTTAAGAACAGTCCGCTGTTGTTCATATTTGATACCTTAACATTAGGAAGAAAGTAGTTTGAGTTATAACTAAACATTTTTTCTAGCCTTTTTCTTTGACATGACTCAATCTCTACCCCTTTTTTATTTTCCTACCAGGCTTAGGGTTAGATGACATTTTGAAGCCAGATTTGATAATGCCATTGATTGAGACATTGTTGTTGGAAGACCGATTAGCTTCATATTTACCTGAGGTATAAAGTGGTTGCCTTGTTTAGTTTTCTTTCAATATCTTCCGTTCTCTCAATTTGAAGTTTTTGAGGTTTCAGGGCCGATGGACACCAGAGGATATGTTGGAGTTGCTGCAGAGCCCACCTTTCCGTCAACAAGTAGATTCATTTACTTATGTGAGGAATTAGAGGAATTAGAATCCACCCTATTATTTGTTTGTAATATTACAAGGCACTGTTCAATTTCATGAGGTTGCTTTCTCTCTGTTATAGGTACTTCGAACAGGACAGATAGATTTGTCTCAGTTTGGTATCGATCCAAGTAAATGTGAGTAGTTTGCAGTTCCAATAATCTATAGCTTTGCTAGTATTGTAAATAAATTTTCTTTTAAAGGGCAAACGTGTATAGTATTGGAGAGTGCTATGCCTGCTTCAAGGTGAATCAAATTAATTTATTTAATTAGCATTTGATTTGTTGCAGACAAGTTCACTGTTCTGTCTTTCCTCGAGGCTCTTGAAGATTCGGTTTCCAAAATGTCCGAGTCAGGAGAAACACAGCTAGATGACAAGGATTTAAGACCTCAACCATGTAATAATAAAGACGACCCTATGGATGAGAGTAAGTGAAGGAGATAAGTGGTTTTTTCTCACCCTCCTTGTTTATTATGGAAGATTTCTTTTTTTGTTTTTCCTTATTTTCTGGGGTTGAGTGGGTGCACTTCTCAAATACCTTGCTTTCCTTGAAAAAGGATGCAAGTGATGTATTTTTAATATATTTATGAGTTTGTTTTTATACATTGTCAATGTGAGTTTTTAATTTTATAAATGAAAAGATTGACATGTTTTATTTTTTTATTTTTAATTTTTTAAAATATATTTCAAAGACGTGTTCTCTCATTAATTTTACTTATGAAATTTAAAAATTTTACTAACTGTGGATGAAATAATTTTTCAGATATTTATATTATCTAAAAAGAAAAAAATTTAAAATTGCAAATTAAAAAAAAAAGAATTCCAATAATGAGAATAGTGAATGATATATATGTTTGATAAATTTGAAATTAATTAATTTCTTTTTAACTAATAAATTTTTACTAAATTAAAATATTGATTAATTTTATATATTTTCATATGGATTTTATGGTAGTTAAAGAAGTAATCCCAAAATTTTGTTAAACATAACTTTGGCATTAATTTAATGTTACGTACCATTAGGAAGATGCTGTTCATGGTATTTGTAACCAATTTAGGAATATATGTTAGAACATGTCCCCAATCCCTTACCACCAACAGAGTGAAAAAGATTGTCATAATATTCCCCAAAAATCTCCCTTCTCCTCTATCCTCTTCCGAGTACTGGCTGCTGTCTCCTGTAACAATTTCCTGCATCCTTTTAGCTTCTGTACCAACTAAAAAGCACATGATAATCATAATCTACTATATATGTCCAATTAAATCACATATGGATATATAAATTAATAAATTACGTAATGTACTTTCCATATTTTAGACATATACTATCCATATTTTAAAGACTCCTACAAGATAATTTACAAATTATAAATTCACTCTTTATGAATAATCTTTTCCTATCTTTTTATCCTCTTATTTGTTATTAATTTCATAAAAAAAAAAAAAAAAAATCGAAGTAAACTTGAAAAAAGTGAATAATAAAATTCAAAATCAAATCTCCGAATAAAAATTTCAAACTTTAAATCTCAAATAGATAATTTTATCTTAATAAATTTCCTTATAATATATATTTTTTAACTTCTTTAAAATTTAAAATCACAATATCACTTATTATTTTTTTTAAAGTTTGAAATATATTTATCAATTTAAAATTATCTATATATTCTAATTATTATCTAATAACCCTATAAATATGTTGTGTTACATTATTATTAGTATTAGTATTATTGTTATTTTCAATGTGTAATTTTTCTCACCAATAGCTACTAAGTTTTTTTTTTTTTTTCCTTCCATTCCTGGCAAAGCATCATAATTTCTGGCTACACTCTTTTAAGGTCATTCGTCTGGATGTATTATTGATTTAAAAGGTGACTTTCAGGTCTTTTTTGTTTAGGGTACCTTTTTTTTTTTCAGTTTTTTTTCTCCAAATTTGATAAAAATCATGTTTAGGGTAATGTCGCAAGAAAAGAAATTTGTGGATAAGCAAATTGTGTAGTACAATCATTAAATGCAAAAAAGTAAATGAATAAATAAAAATAACCATTAATTTCCATATCTAATATATAGATTTTAATTAAAGGAAAAATGGAAAAATTAAAGTAAAAACTAATTTCCATAAATTAATATATATAAACAAATAAAAATGGAAAAACCATATCTAATATATAGATTCACCACAAATTAAAGGAAAAAAAAAAAAAATTTCTTAAAATAAGCTCCTTTTATTGATTTAACCTAAAATCAGCAAGGTAAATATGAATCATTGCTAAAAGTTGAATAGACTAAATTAGTTTAATTATTTGTTATAATAATATTGTTCTACACTATACATGAAAAATGGTATTTGTTATTAAAAAATAAAAATTTAATCTCAAATAATGATATTGACATAAATATCTTCATTTGCAAAGCAATGGCAGTATTAACGACTATATATTGGTAAGCCAATAATGAAGTATGAACAAACTACATACTGAACTAGCAGTTGATGGGTGTTTTAAGCATGGAAGTTTAAAACACTATTTGGGACCGGAGATGTGTTGTGAATGGATGTAATGTAAGACGTGAACTAGCAGTTGGCTGATGGTCCAGAATTAGTTCACTTCCATCCGTGTACGTGGCCAGTGCCTCGGCATATCTTCTGGCCATAGAATCGCAAAAAGTTTGTGATACAATTCTTGGCCGTCCCAGAGGCGGACAGCCTTCCAACATGCCAACGACATTAGACATAGTCGGTCGACTCGTTGGCTCAAACTCCACGCAACACGAGGCCACTCGCACTAGCGTCTCCACCTCCTCACTCTTCACACTTCCCTCCAGCCTTGGGTCGGCTGGCTACCTCCAAGTATCTTTTCTGCTCATGCATTTCCAATGCCAGTAAAGGAAAATACATTCGCTCTAGTTCCAAGCCTGATGGCGCACAAGAACAGCTGTTGCTTACTATTTGTGTAGAGAAATTCCTTCTCCCTTTCACAGTTTCAAGCAAAAGCATCCCGTAACTATAAACGTCACTCTTTTCCGAGATGCCAGAGCTCGTTAGCCATTCTGGGGCAAGATACCCTCGAGTTCCCCTCAATGTTGTGAGTAGGGTGGATTGTTCAGGAGTTAGCAGACTTGAAATCCCAAAATCTGATATCTTCACTTGTAAATTGTCATGTAGCAGAGTGTTTTCTGGCTTTATATCACAATGGATGATCTTGGGTTGGCACCCTCCGTGCAAATAAGCAAGGCCCCGCGCGGTTCCAAGCGCGATTTCGAATCTCTTCCATTCTAAAACTGACTCATCATTGAAGATTGCACGGTCAAGTGATCCCCTGTTCATGTATTCGTACACCAAAAATCTCTGCTTTCCTTGCACACAAAATCCTTTAAATTTAACACGATTGACATTGTGAATGTCTCCAATGATGGCAATCTCGGTCCAAATGTCCTTTCCTTCAACTCCCAAATTCCTAATCTTCTTCACTGCCACAACTGGTCCGTTTGGTAAAATGCCCTTGCACACGGTACCGAATCCATCACTGCCTATTTGTGTCTTAAAGTTGTCAGTAGCTGTTGCAAGCTCCTCATACTCGATCCTCACTGGTAAACCTGGGATGGATATTGTATCAATCTCTGCTGAAGACGAGTTCTTAGAGCCTAATCTTACCACTGCAGTCCTGGAATGCCACTTTCTTCTTCTCCACCAAATCCTACAACAAGGGCAATTAATAGGAAAACCCTTGATGTAGATAGTAGCACCAAACCTGCTACTGAGAATTTACGTCCGGTTCTCGTGTATACATTATAAGTTACAATCATGGTCTTTATGTAGCTTGAAAATTTTTCTTGGCTAAAGGTGCTTGAAAAGATGAATCCCACTTTGTTTTGAATTGGATAACAAATACCAGAAGAATTATCCTGGAGAAACCCCAAGCAAGAACAATTCTGAGAGGATAGCAGTTGACAGTATGATAAGTTGACCCGTCGACTTAGGGGCTCGACGAAATCAGTTGAGAAATAGTCTATGTTATCCCCAATTTTCAGGTAGGAATCCCGATGATTGGTTTCACTACCGTTACTTTCATTGCAGGCCTTAGGCAAAGTAAAAGAAGGATTGATTGGCACACATCCGTCTATACCATTGGGGAAAGCCGGTGGACATGAACAGATTGCACTGCTACAAAACCCAATTTTCCCACAAATGGAAGGAATTCTGCAATCTTCGGCTGGAAACTGAAAATTTTATACTAATTTGCTCCCATCATAGCTGCTAATAATAAAATTTCCGTTGGACCTCAACTTTGCAAATATAAACTCGAATCCAGTAGCAGCAGGAGCGGCAAAAGTCACCTGAAAGACTAACCGTCATCTCCCATCCAATACAAACCACTCACATTTAGGGCCATAAAAGACACAGGCGAATTTGAGTCCTTGAAGGCCCTGTTGTCCATTGACAACACCCAATACGTCATCCCATTCCATTGCAAAACCGCATCCACAACCGAGAAGTCTATATCCACAGGCAATCTTTGCCCCATTAAAAGAGTGTAGGTAGGGTAATCAAAAGTTTCCCACAATGAAATGTTTCCTTGATCAAGCAGAACGAGATTGCCAGAGTCATGAAGTTGTATGAACGCGACGGAAGAGTTGAGATTTGGCGTTGACCACAAAATGCGATCCAAGTCATCGGTGATGAGAAGTCCATTGAGAGTTAGCAAAAGTTTGGCAGACTGTGAAACGGGTCTGTTTCTGTTAGCGGTCCAGATGATGGTGTTGGAAGATGAGTGGATGACTGAGAAATAGAATTCAGGGAGCTGCTCGTTGGGATTGTAAATGGAGGCTTTGAATGTGGCATTGGGAGATTCCAAGAAGGCGCCACCCTGCTCAACCAATTGTAAATAGGAAGCGGTGAAGTTGGGGCGAATGAAGTGATTGAAGAGATGGCCTGACGAGGTGGTCAACAAGTAGCCGAAATATGAGGAGGAAGGTGGCAAAGAAAGGCATGTTACAGAGCAGAAAGACAGACCACAACCCACAACAAGGGTAACAAAGATGAGGATGTGGAGTTTTGGATGCCCGGAAATCAAACTATACTACTTTGACCACATTTTTCTTCAAATAAAACTAATTCTAAACTGGGGAGTTGCTTTCGCTTGGTTTCTCCGACTTTGAACACGATTGGGATTGTTGAAAGGATTCAACTTCAAACTTCTCAAAGCAGACATCAACGTGACCGAAAAAGCAGTTTTTTTCCTTCATCCGTCGATTATAATAATTTTGGTCTGACCAGAGATTAAAAGAAAAATGGCAACTACTATGACTTTGAAAATGGCAATTAATATGTTTTGTTTTTGTTACTACTAATTAATAAGTGAGTTCATATTTAATATATTATATAGTATATGATTAGTGAATATACAATAATATTTTATAAAAAAAATATATTTAATTTTAAAAATATATTTAAGATTAAATTTTTTATAAACTATTATTATGTATTTCATTAATAATATATAACATTTATACATGAACATAATACCAAATAAATTATTAATAAGTAGTATTGTCCTGTTATCATTTGACTAATGACATTCCAAGGTAACTACAGTTGACAATGGGCATGTTTGAATGAATCCAATAGTCTTTCGTTTTGGATCACATCTTCTCATAAATAATTTAATAGTTTGTGATGCTTTTTTTTAATGTTTTCATAAATTTTTGTTGGAATATTTTTTACAACACGTTTAAGATTAAAGGATATCGTAAAATTTAAAAATAGATAATATGAATTTTTAAGTTTAAAATATTACATAATTCCTAAAGTCTTCTCGGGTACTAGGGCTCTTTAAAAGAAGTGCAAGTCTTGTTCGAATGCAAGAAATTACTGCATTAGGATTGCTCAGATGGTCTTTAAGGATCTAGTAAGTGGAGTAGTTTTAAGAGTTTCAACGTAGAGAAAGAAAGGGTGATAATGGAGAACGGAGTTGAATGAAATGTGGGAACAATTGAGGTTAATAGAGGAAAAAAAGGACTGTATCGCGATGGAAGTGTTTGGGTGCGAAAGGAAAGTGTAAATGGCGCTTGTTGGAAAATTATTAACACAAAGGTTCTTCAATAAGGAAGCACTCAAAGGGACGATCAAACTGATATGACGATTGGCGAAGGAAGTGGAAATTATAGGTTTGGAGAATAATCTTTTATTGTTTAAATTTTCAACCATGGCTGACGAAAGAAAGAGTGTTGGAGGGTTCTCTATGGTCTTTTGACAAACAACTAGTCCTATTCTAGAATATAGAAGAGATTTGAGGCTGGATGAATACTAATTCAATATGCATTGTTTTGGGTTTGGGTATATGGGTTATTGCTAGGGATGAGGAACCAGGAGAATGGCCAACGAATAGGAGAGAAGATAGGCATCCTAAAGGTAGTAGACACAACTTTGGAAAAAAGAGGATGGCCAAGATTTTTACGAGTCTCGGTGGAAATAGACATCAGGAAGCCTCTACGAAGAGCGGTATTACTACGTGTAGGATCTCCCAGCAAGGAAATATGGGGCAAACTAAGCTATGAAAGACTTCCCACCTTCTATTATGTATGTGGAGTATTGGGTCTAGAGCTTATCTATGAATGTAAGTGTGTTGTGTATAAAGAGACATGCCAAATAATCAAATAAATCAATGCACTTAAAATTAAAATTTGCAAAATAAAAAATAATAAATCATAAAATAGGTTAGTCTACATGAAAATTATAAATTATTATATAATAAAACCTATCAAAGTAAGGCATAAGATAACACATAACTAACTAATAGCTTGACTCTCTAATGTCCCCAGCGGAGTTGTCAAACTATCATAACGTTTAGGCTCGAGAATATACCCATTAGGCACAAATAATCATGGACTCGCCACCAATCTTTTTTATCTAAGTGTGATTAGCCACCTATGTGAATCTATCTTTTTTAAAGTTATCTTAAGTGTAAACTAAGAGTCCCTAAAAAAAAAAAGTTTTGGTCTATATCAGTAGAACTAAAGTTTAGGAATCAGTTACGTTTAAAGAAGATATTAGCACCCATTTACCCTCAAAATTGGTATCAAGTTAATTATGTGTTCCTTAATCTAAATCTTAATCAAAGATAATTTTTTATCATGCAAATAAATCAATTCTAATCCATTTATTTATTTACACAACATCGCCATACAAAAATTTTATTAAAAATCAAATCATGCAACCATGTAATGATGCAAAAATATGAAAATTATACCAAAATCATGCCAATAAAAATAATAAAATCACACCAAAATCATGCCAAAATATCATGCAATAAATATAAAATTATGGCAAAATCACACCAAAATACCTCTACAAAAATATCATGTAATCATGCAAATAATAAATCATGTAAGCACCAATTTTGTCTTATTATAATTTTGTTTTTTTTTATTATTAATAAAAAAAAAGAAAAGAAAAAGTAAAAAAAAAATGGTTTCAACTCTAATAGTTGAAATCAAGTTGCCAAAGTAGTTTTTTTTTTTTGACACTGCCTAACTTGGCAGCATAAAATCCGATGACCAAAAGTCACTGGATAGGATCCAAATTTTTCACAAAAAAAATCCCAAGAGATCTAGGATTTGAATCTTAGAGGCTCCATAAATGGAGCCAATTTTTGCAAACTAATTGGGGAGAAATACAAGGGTAAGCCTAGGCGAAAATAAAAACACTCATAGTCCTCTTTAACAGAGGAACCAACAGCAAACACAAAAGAAATTTAAAAAAAAAAAAATCATCGAGAATGAAATTTTCGATCTAGGAAGTTTAAGAGTTTTTTTAAAAAATCTAGGCTTGAAAGAGTGTTTAGAAAACAAAAAGGGTTAGTTTGGGAATTTTTGAATTTTTTTTTGGGTCATTGGGTTCTAGAAAACTTTGAATTTTTTGACGACTAAAATCTAGGTTCATCGCTGAAATCTGAGAATTTTTGAATTTTTCGGCATTAGTTGAAGTTTTCGATCACTGGTGTACAACGATGACCAACCAAAAATTGGGTAACTGCGACTGCCAGTAAGAGGGGGTTTGGGTTTAGAGAGAGAAGCTCTATGGTAGAAAGAGAGAGGGGAAAGAAAAAAAATAAAAAAAAGCTAAAACAGGCTTTTTATAGGCACTCTAAAACGACACCATTTTAAGCGTCTGACTCGCATCCAACCCACGTAGGATCCGCGCACCAACCCGTGCGTTGACCCGCGCGCCAACCCGACCCGTTTTATAGGTTTTCTCTTTTCTTTTTCTTTTTATTTTCTATTTTGATTTTGATTTTATTTATTTTGTATTGATTTTTATGTTGATTTTTTTTCATGATATTATTGTTATTATTATTATTGTTATTTTATATTAATAATTCTTTTAGAAACAAATAAATAGAATAAAAATAAAACTAAAATAACATAAAGACTTAAAAATATAATATGTAAAAAAATTAATAATAATAACTATTTAAGGAAAATAAAATTTTATTACAAGAAAAAATGTTATTTAAATTTCATCAAAGTGTTGAGATAATTTAAAAAATAGTTTTTGCTAAAAAAAATAAATTATAAAAAATGATAAATAAAATAAAAGAATAAATTGTTTAAATGAATCTTTTAAATGTAATTGTTAGGGAAAGCTAAAAGAGTTTAGTTTTCTTTAATTATTGTAAGTAAAAATAATTTTTTAGATTTCAACATAGAGTTAGGATAATCCAAAATTATTTTTATTGGAATAAAGATTGATTTAAACAATGTAAAACAATAAATAATAATAATAATAATAATAATAATAATAATAATAATAACAATAATAATAATAATTAATATCTGAATAAATTTTTAAAAAAATATAAAAAATTGAAAAAGTTTGATTTTTTAATATAAATAAAAAATTAATATTTAGATTTCACTGGTGAGTCGGGATAATTTAAATTTTTTATAATAAAAAATAATTAAAAAATAGATAATAAATTTTTTAAAATAATCATAATAAAGATTAATTAATTAATTAATTCCTTTAACTAAAAAAAAATTGATTTTTATTTAGGATCTTGTCAAAAGTTGAGATAATCTTAAAATTTGTTTAAATTTTTTAGTATTTCACTGAAGATTCCAGATAATCTTAAAATTTGTTTAATAAATTTTGAGATCTCACCAAAGAGTCGAGAGGTTCCTAAAATCTTTTTTAAAACAAATAAATAAAATTTCTTATGACGAGATTTCGAGAATTTTATGAATGGTCAATTTTCTCGAAATATTTTTTAAATAGTGATTTTCTATAAATTTTGTCAAAGCATTGGAGAATTTATAGAATACGAAATAATAATAATAATAATAATACTAATTTCACAATAAAAAATATATTTTATAAATAAATTTTAAGAAATTAAATTTAAATAAACAAATATTGCATTATTAAAATTATAAGATTAGACATGTTTAATTGATACCATTCTTCAGATGGGCGATGTGAGGATGCTAATACCTTCCTCACTCGTAACCGTACTCTCTGACCTAATCTTGGTTTCACAAACCTAAACTTCTGTTAATAAATCTTAATTAATTTTAAGATTTTATTAAAAAATGATATTTTTAGGTGATCAATCACACTCTTTAAAAAGATTAGTGATGATTTCGAAAATTTTTATCAAATTTAGTGATCGAGTCCCCCGAACAAAAAATCATAATGACAAATCATACAAATATATTATTACTCATGCAAATAGAAATAATCATGCAAATAAACCATGCAATAAACAATAAATTTCATGCAAATATATTAAAAAAATCATGCAAATAAAATATCATACAAATAAAATATCAAGCAAATAAAAAAAACCTTGTCAAAGTCAAACAAATGGGTCGGGTCAGGAAACAAATGGGCGCGCGAATCACTAGGGTTACGGGTCAGCAATCTTTCACGCGGCTCTAGCTTTTCCTCGAGGTGAACCATTATCGTTTCAGCACATCCTCCTTATTTTTGCTTTGCCTCTGTCAAGCTTCAGATTCTTCGCCTTTTCTCTGGAATCGAACTTTCAAGCCTTTTTCTACCAGACAAACAACCCAGCCAAAGCAAAAAATTAGTCGAACACCAGACCCAAACCCCAGCAGCCTTCTTTTTGTTTTTGTGCTAAGTTCTCTCCACAAACTCTCCCTTCTGCAACAACTTTAAAGGCCAGTAGCCAACAACCCAGAAACCAGTGAACTCACAGTCGTTCGACCACCACCAACCTATCCAC